ATATATATATGTATTTAACAATTCAAAATATAATTTAGTTCAATAACATATGACAGCCAATTGTGAAGTCCCTGAGTGTAGGGACTTGGGGTCTTCACAAGCTTGATTCCATTTCGCATCACAAAATTGATGTTGCGTTTAATAATGTTACGCGTTATGTTTTTGGCCTCAAAAAATATGACAATATCTCCTTTTGGAGAAACAAAATTCTATAAATGTAGAACTGTTGAATTTATTTATACATATTAAACGAACTGCTACCCAATAAACATTGTGGCGAACGTTCGATAATGACCTTCGATATCCAATATGCATATCGAACTGAGAACGAACTCATAACCAACCTTAGTTTTCCAACGTTCATAGTGTATTGGAAATACACTCGAAATTGGTTCGAAAATAAAATGAGAACCATAGTAACTAGAGAGAAAATTGCGTATTTTAATGCTTTTGGGAATTTTATGTTTATTATAAAGTTTCATTTTTTCAACTAAAGCGAGTCGCGCGTTTGTTTTCGGGAAAATAAAAATTGGTAACTAGCAATTTAGATAATAATATAATTTATATAAAATGAAAACTTCAAAAAAAAATTAGACGTGAATGCAGTGAAATTGTAAGCATGCTAATGCAACCTCAACAACAACAAATGAATGTTGACGCAGAGTTCGAGCAGATTTCAATTACATTTTTCCAGCAAGCCAAAACCCGTATAAAAAAAGACGCTTTATCACGAAAATATTAAAACTAGAGAGTTAATAGTTAGAATAAGTATTTTTCTTTTATGTACTTAAATAACATCCTGAGGATCATCTCTTAATTTAACTAATTTGTTTTTTAATGAAGTATACTTTATTTAACCACGCATTTCTTATAAAAAAATTACAAAAACCTCTAAAATAAAAAGTAACTATACTTAAACGTTAATCAAATATACTTTCCTTTTTTCAAAAACAAAAATGTATAACCAATATTTATTAGGCNGTTTTCTTTTTTCAAAAACAAAAATGTTTAACCAATATTTATTAGGCTTGGTTAACAATTCGTAAATGATTGGAAAACAGATCTCTTTTTTCTAGTCCCACCTTCGATAATGAATGTGGAAATAGGTTAGTATTGGATTCGAGAACTAGGCCGTTCTCCGGCAAAACGGAACCTTCGTTATCCAACGTATTTTACCTTCGTTATGAATTCGAAATCCAGCTCATTCTCAAAGGGAAATATAAGACAATAACTCTCTCATTAAAATTTCCCTTCGACAATGGGCTGGATTTCGAATTCATAATGAAGTTAAAATACATTGGATAACGAAGGTTCCGCTTTGCTGGAGAATGGCCTAGTATTCGAATCGAATAGTAAGTAACATTGATTATCGAAGGTGAGACTTGAAAAAAAGATTAGTTTTCCAATCATTTTCGAATTGTTAACCAAGCCCAATGTTTATTGGGTAATTATATACATACATACGTGAAATCGAAATACGTATGTACATATTAGGGATGTNACGTGAAATCGAAATACATATGTACATATTAGGGATGTTAATCCCGGGATCCCGGGATTTCGGGATCCCGGTCTTTTTTAAGTCCCGAATATCCCGGGATTAGTTGATTTAAATCCCGGGAGTGCTGGAAACAATTTTTTTGTTAGCCAATTAAATTTTTATCACAAATATCCCCTCTCAAGGGNGTATGTACATATTAGGGATGTCAATCCCGGGATTTCGGGATGCCGGTCTTTTTTGTCTTTTTTAAGCCCCGAATATCCCGGGATTAGTCGATTTAAATCCCGGGATTGCTGGAAACAATTTTTTTGTTAGCCAATTAAATTTTTATCACAAATATCCCCTCTCAAGGGCAAATTAAGAATTTGTTGCAACCCTTAATGCTATAATTTCTTTAAGATCGCATTACCATCAAAAGAAGGAATAATTTTGCTTCCTCGAAATGTAATAGGTGATGCACTTATATATTTATTGTTTACTTAAATGTGTTAACTTTTTTATTATTACTTAAATATACTGATAATATCTTAAATTGATCTGAAACAGTGATTCAAAAAATTTTATATAGTTACATAGGCAGTTACTGCTGTACCAAATACAGTCACTTACAAAAATATTTTGCATCGATTTTTTTTTGGAATATTCAAAATATTTTTCATGGTATTTTTTTGTTAATTAAAAAAAATATATAGCTCATTTTACAACAAAAATCATGTAAATCAAAATTTCACACTTTAGAGAAAGTTGGTTTAAGTTCACTAAATTATCATAAAAATATCAAACTTTTTAATCATAATTTTTACAAAAAATTTTACATTCAATTTAATTAAATAAAGTGCAATTTTAAAGTTGCTAAAAACTCCCTTGATTTTTGAATTTTTTTTACTGACGATGTTGGGCATTTTCTTCCTTATAACAAATTTTTTTGTAGCAAAAAAAAAATAAAAAATGTTAACGGGATGTTTTCGCAACTTCAAAATTACAAATACATATATATTTTTTTAAATTAAAAAAAAAATACCATGAAAAATATTCTGAATATTGCAAAAAAAAATCTATTCAAAATATTTCTGTGAGTGACCGTATTTGCATTTGTACTTGTAGAACAAAAACTATGTTATAAATTAATGAGGATATGTACATACATACATACATATATGTTTGTCAAATTTTATGTTTGTTTTTTGTTGATTGAAAATACTGATTTATCGCCTTAATAAATATGTAAATGAATTACAATAAATTGTACTTTTTTTTTGTTNGTGAAAATACTGATTTATCGCGTTAAAAAATATGTAAATGAATTACAATAAATTGTACTTTTTTTTGTTATATCAATCTGATTTAAAATACTATAAAAGGATGATCACAGATGTGTTGCATTTTTGCCTGAATTTCGGGACATTCCCGGGATCCCGGGATTGTATTTTCAGATCCCGAAAATCCCGGTATCGACAAAACCCCGAAAATTCACATTTCTAGTACATATCTATATTGAAATTTGAAGTACATACATACGTACTTAGGTATGAACAAGTAAAAGGAAGTACAGAAAATATTACCAACAATGTTAGGTTTGTATAGTAACTTCTCCAGTAAAACATTGCAGCCAGAGCGTAAAAGCAAAATAGAGCGTAAAATTGAGAAGAGAAAACTAGCAGAAAAAGTTACTGAACGCAAAACTAGTAAAAACTTGCAAGTGAATAGTTGTTGCACCCTTTTGATATTCTGCTGTAAAGATTTTACTATTTATAAATCAGTTTTAAACTCTTTGCTTTACACACAAGCACTTACACAGTCTAGTACATCATTAATATTTTGATTTCCACCCATTTTACTTTTGTTTGTGCTAAACCAATTCAACAAATGACGGCTTTTGACATTTATTCTTCTTCTTCTTCTGCTAGCTAATTTCTGCTAGTAAAAATTTTACTAGCAAGAATTTGCAGCTCTCCGGTGTTGTTACGCTCTCGATTAAGTGCTCTCTTACAAATTTTTTGAGTTATCATACACTTTTCCAGTAAAAATTTGCAGGTTCCAGTACAAATTAGTACTGACTATTGGTTACTATACAAACCTGTTGTTAGGATAACTGTCTGCCTGCGTGCAGGACAGTATAAATAGAGCAGCAAATGTAATTTGAGATCACTTCTGGAAGAGTAGTCGTATACTCCAGTCGATCGTGAAAACGCAGATTGGAATGACTAAGCAACGATTGTGAAGACTAAGTTGCTTAGTAGGTAGGTAAGGTATATGATGTGACGCGAAAACGCTGCCAAAGCAATACGTTATATCGGTGTGACGTGGAAACGCTGCCAAGTAGTACTTATATGGTGTGACGTGGAAACGCCGCCAAGGAAATACGCTATATTGGTGTGACGTGCAAACGCTGCCAACTAAATAGCGAAATAAAGAAGCGTCACTATAGGAATCATTGGCGTATTTAATTTAACGTTTGGATAAGGGTACCCAACATCCGACTGAGCCACAGCCCAGCTATAGACCGGATAAACCGGGTTCGTTACAATTGGCGCCCAACGTGGGGCCCTTATAAATAAAGGAAGCAGTAAGGGCCAAGGAGGAGAACTCACAGATAACAAAAGTGAAGTGAAGTGATTTGGAAAACTACCAAGCAAAAGTGCAAAGACACCTTTAAAGTGATAGAGACACAGGGTAAAGCCCAGAAATTAAGAACTCTGAAAGTAATAAAACATTCCTTACCAATAAGAGGGTAACGTGAAACAAAGGAACATAAACAAAATAATAATAATAAAATAAAATAAAAATGGTGAAAACAAAGTGGGTGTACTACTTAAATAAAAAGGAGCTTGTGACCTATATGACCGAGTTCGGCCTTGACAATTCGCGGACCGTCGAGGAGCTGCGTAAACGCCTCTCTACATTTGTACAAGAGGAAGGGGATACTGAGAACCATCACGATCGGGTCACTGATTTAGCGCTTAAGCATACGAGGTCTACAAGCGCGGGGAATGCACCAACACCGAAGAGACCCGAAGTGCTACTACTACCGCCTACACAACAACCCATCAACGACGACAGCACAAGAGGAACGCCGAACGTGCCAATGTATCCAGTATACGTCGACTCACAACGATCAGCCCCAACTATCATGGACCGCGCACGCAAATGGGGCGTCAAATACGATGGCGGCAAGGACCCGCTGGGTTTCATCGAACGCGTCGAAGAATTAGCCGACGGGTACGAGATAGAAAGAGACGCACTTCCACGAGCATTACCCGAGCTATCTAAGGATAGAGCCCTCGTCTGGTTACGAAACAATCACGGCCACTGGAGAGACTGGGAGACGTGTAAGCGAGATTTCCTGAAGTTCTTCTTGAACTCCCGTTATTTCGAAAGACTCGATGATGGGATACGGCAGCTTGTTCAACGGCCCAGAGAGGCATTTAAAGACTATGTACNTCAACGCATCTATAAGAACTGCCGAAGCGAATACCAGCTGTATATTAAGCAAACTGAATTCAACACTCTTGGAGATTTGGTAAGTCTGGCCGAAGACTACGAGAATATTGTAGCAGAGAAGGAGTCGCAACGAGCATTGCCCCGCGCAATAACCCCGAGACGAAATGAGGAGCGCAACTACACTATCCGAGAGGAGCAGCGAAGAGAGAGGCATACGATGCCAGCCAGACGGCACGATGGAACCGATTTTGCGCCACCTACGGGACACCAACGTAAAAGCGAAGGATCTAGCCGAGTAAACCCACGAACGGCGTGCAGACGATGCGGCGAAGACGGACATTTCGCCTACGAATGTCGCAACGATATCCAGCAATTCTGTTGGACGTNTATTGTAGCAGAGAAGGAGTCGCAACGGGCATTGCCTCGCGCAATAACCCCGAGACGAAGCGAAGAGCGCAACTACACAATCCGAGATGAGCAGAGAAGAGAGAGGTATACGATGCCAGCGAGACGGCAGGATGGAGGCGATTATGCGCCACCTACGGGACAACAACGTAAAAGCGAAGAATCTAGCCGAGTAAACCCACGAACGGCGTGCAGACGATGCGGCGAAGACGGACATTTCGCCTACGAATGTCGCAACGATATCCAGCAATTCTGTTGGACGTGTGGTCGGCGGAACATTCGAACTTCAGACTGTTGCCGTGGGAAACAGGGAAACGGCCAAGGACCCCATTCGCGACGNAATGCGGCGAAGACGGACATTTCGCCTACGAATGTCGGAACAATATCCAGCAATTCTGTTGGACATGTGGTCGGCGGAACATTCGAACATCAGACTGTTGCCGCGGACAACAGGGAAACGGCCATGGACCTCATTTGCGACGAAGAGTGGGGTCTCCAATAATGCAACCTCAGTCAATGTAACACCAATTCTTAAGCAAGCGGAAGGGCGAGTAATCGCCAGAGCAACAGTGGATGGTAGAGCAGTATTAGCGGCGGTTGATACGGGAGCAACAAGAAGTTTTGTAAGCATTAGAGCAGCGAACACCCTGGGAATCGAGCGGTCACGAAGAGTGAACAAAAGAGTGGTGATGGGAGATGGCAGACCAATAGCGGTCACAGAAGCGATAGAGGCGGTAGTAAAGGTGGGCGATCAAGAGCATAGGAGCGAGTTACTCGTCCTACCCGGTTTGGTCGATAACATGGTCCTTGGGACTAAATACCTGGCAGAGCCCAACACAACAGTGAGCTGCGGAGGGCAGACATTAACGCTGAAGGCAGAGGACGATATCCGAACGAAGGCTGCATGTACCACGATGTTAGAAGTGCGCGAAGTACAGAGAGATGAGGAAGGCGAAAAGGCAGCAAATGAACAACCCACATCCATCGAGGATACGACGGAAGTCGAAAATTTCTGAAAGAAGGAGGTGCTCGCATTCGAGAAGATAACGGGGATGACTAACATCGCCGCCCATAAGATTATAATGCGAGATGATCGACCCATAAAACAGCGCTACTTTCCCAAAAACCCGAAAATGCAGGAAGTAATAAACAGGGAGGTCGACGAATTAATAGAGAAGCAGTGCATCGAGCCCTCGCATAGCCCACACAGCGCGCCAATCGTGCTCGTAAAGAAGAAAAACGGAAAGTGGNTGGACTACCGGCAACTTGACGCGCGCTCGGTACCGGATGCATACCCACTCCCACGAATCCGATACATTTTGGATCGACTGAGAAGCGCTAAATTCATTAGCACCTTGGACTTGAAGAATGGGTACTGGCAAATCCCGATGGAAGAGAGTAGTAAGGAGTATACTGCGTTCACTGTGCCAGGACGCGGTCTGTTTCAGTGGCGCGTAATGCCGTTCGGGCTACATTCAGCGCCTGCGACGTTTCAACGAGCGCTGGACAAAGTCATCGGACCAGAACTGGAACCGCACGCGTTTGCTTATCTGGACGATATTATCATCACGAGTGCGACGCTAGACCAACACATGGAACACCTGAAAGAAGTGTTTCGACGATTGCGGCAGGCGAACCTCAAAATCAACCCAGAGAAATGTGAGTTTTTCCAAAAGAGTTTGAAATACCTGGGTCATGTGGTGAGCGAAGAAGGGATTCACACCGACCNTAGTCCAAGCGCAGGACAGATGGGCATCCGCAAGACGATAACGAGAGCGACGGCACGTTACTACTGGCCCGGAATGTTCAGGGACATAAAGAGGTATGTCCGACAGTGTACTACCTGCCAGATTTACAAGCCCAGCCAACAGAAAGCTGCGGGAAAGATGCTAACCCAGATCGCAGAAGAACCTTGGGCCACAGTATGCGCAGACTTTGTGGGACCATTGCCACGATCAAAGCACGGAAACACAACCGTACTAGTCTTTATCGACAAGTTTTCCAAATGGGTAGAAATTGTGCCTCTACGGATGGCGACAGCTGAAGGCCTCAACAAAGCGTTTCGAGAACGCGTACTCGCTAGATTCGGAGTCCCGAAAATTGTAATAACTGACAATGGAACACAGTTCACCAGCAGAGAGTTCAAACGGCTACTACGAGAGTACGGGGTTAAGCATCAACTCACCGCACCATACACGCCACAAGAAAATCCGACGGAGAGGGCAAACCGCAACATAAAGAGAATGCTTGCACAGTTTACCGGAAAAGAACAGCGAAATTGGGACGACTTACTACCCGAAATGACACTAGCGCTTAATACCAGTGTTTGCGAAGCCACCGGCTACAGTCCTGCCTTCTTAGTGCAAGGACGCGAGCCGCGAGTACCAAAAGCCCTCTACGACGAACAAACTTTCGGTACCGGCCAAGCGAATCCTCCCCCGGCATGCACCTGAGCCTAATTCGACGCAAGGCGAAGAATAGGTAAATTTCGGTCATAGACAGAAATATGATAACTCGGCAATTGCCAAATAGGGGAGCGATTTCCATGAAAAGGAGACCCTAAGGAGAGAGAAGAAGAAGAGAAAATATAAGAGAAAAGGAGGGAAGAAGAAGAGGGAGTTTAAAAGAAAGAAGAAGAAAAAGCAGTTTAAAGGAAAGTAGAAGAAGGAGTTTAGAAGAAAAAGGGAGAATGAGAAGAAGAAGGAGAAGAAGAACGAGGTTGTAGCGCGAGAATACTATGAAAAAAGGAGATAATTCATGCCAAGAGAAATAAACAAACAAAAATTTTGAATAGCATTAATATAAAAACAAACATAATAAGGCAATATAATTATTAGTATGTATAAAACCTATTAATAAACAATAAGGTCAGCAAATACAATAATAATAACAAATATAATAATAATAATTAGTATCGTAAAACGGATACATCATTTACCAAGCTGGCAACACTATTCCGATACTGACATATCGATCCCTGAGAAAAAAATCCCCCTTTTGGGAGAGTGGGCAACATTGCAACACAACAGCTGAATAAGACAATAACAAACTAAAATATTGTAAACCAAAAAATAACAAAATGCAAATAATTTGGAAATATACAGTTTGTCNCTGACATATCGATCCCTGAGAAAAAAATCCCCCTTTTGGGAGAGTGGGCAACATTGCAACACAACAGCTGAATAAGACAATAACAAACTAAAATATTGTAAACCAAAAAATAACAAAATGCAAATAATTTGGAAATATACAGTTTGTCGCGCAAAGGCAACTGTTTCCCAAATGTTTAATATAAAAGGACATCGCAAAAAGGACCCGGTACTCAAAAAGTGACTGCAGAGATGGATACACGGCCAACTGGAGAAATTTTCAAGGCGATGGGCGTAAAGACGACACTTTGAAAGTGCGTTTGCGCCGCCTGACGGAAGCAGAAATTAGGCAGCATACTGGCGTTGGTGGAGGAGAAGGCGTTGAAGACAACGCAAGTCAGGACAGCACAGAGATTTGCGTACACGAAAGCCCAAACAGCGGTGCGAGTGATGAGGGGCGCTGGAGTCCTGCATCATGGAACCCAAGCGACTACACGAATCGGAGTTTAGTAGCAAGCAGCGACGCGGGTAGCGGCACATTTACGCCAGCAGAAGTATGCGGCGATAGCAACGACGATGACTACGAGTGGCATCTAGGCGAGATGATAAGGGCGCCCACGCCAATCGAGGTGTCCGATGACAGCTATAACGAGCCACGCAGGGGCGAAATGGACATCGAACAGGAGGACTGCCAACGCCCAGGTGAGGGTTATATAGAGTATGTCCGGCGCATCACTATGACGATGCGAATTTTTAACGACGCGTCACACAACACCGAATCGTGGCGACAACCAGCTGCGCAGGCGTTGTGCGACGTAGCAGCGGCGACAATATCAAGTGATAATAGAGGCGATGAAGGCAGCGAAGAGGAGAATGCGCTCACCCTGTTGGTGGAGGAAGACCGCGGGTTGGAGCAGTTGTTGGAGGAGTTGGCCAGCACAAACACAGAGCCAGCAGACCCGATGATGATCCACGAAATCGAACGCTGGTTGCAGGACGACAATCTACAGACAGAAGCACTACCCGGTAACTGGCGAAACTTCAGCTGCTCAAACCCGGTGCCAATGGAACTGGTAAGGGTCATTCAGGAGCGGCTGCAGCGACAACAAACTAAACGCCAGACATTCAGGCATGCGGTGGGCACAATGGTGTACCGCGTACGTATTACAGGCTCGGGGATGGTAACAATCACGTGTCCAGAGGGAAGTAAAGGGGGGGGGTTGGGGGTGTGAAGACCCCAAGTACCGACACTCAGGGACTTCACAATTGGCTGTCATATGTTATTGAACTAAATTATATTTTGAATTGTTAAATACATATATATATATATATTGATATAAATGTAGAACTGTTGAATTTATTTATACATATCAAACGAATTGCTAATTATATACATACATACGTGAAATCGAAATACATATGTACATATCTATATTGAAATTTGAAGTACATACATACGTACTTAGGTATGAACAAGTAAAAGGAAGTAAAGAAAATATTAGCAACAATGTTGTTAGGATAACTGTCTGCCTGCGTGCAGGACAGTATAAATAGAGCAGCAAATGTAATTTGAAATCACTTCTGGTAGAGTAGTCGTATACTCCAGTCGATCGTGCAAACGCAGATTGGAATGGCTAAGCAACGATTGTGAAGACTAAGTTGCTTAGTAGGTAGTTAAGGTATATGGTGTGACGTGGAAACGCTGCCAAAGCGATACGTTATATTGGTGAGACGTGAAANTTATAGGAATCATTGGCGTATTTATTTTAACATTTGGATAAGGGAACCCAACATCCGACTGAGGCACAGCCCAGCTATAGACCGGATAAACCGGGTTCGTTACAAGCTTGAGTTGAATAGCTAGCTTTCTGCGAGTCTTCAAAGGCGTAAATGACACTGACATTCTCAATCTACGTAAAACAGAATGCACATTACTCACAGCTCTATTTTTATGGTCAGAACAGCTGAACTTAGAATTAACAACGAAGCCTAAATTTAGAATTTGGTAGTAAATTCAAGGACACTATTATAGCCCTGACAGACATGTGGTTTTTAAACAATGGTTGAAAAAATGTGGCGAAAGCCACAATAAATAATTATTTCAAACGTGCGGTAGCACGAACAATATGGCAACACAAACCGATTGAGTCAGCTGACCCATGCGTACAAGCAGCGCTGAAACGAATGTGAAAAGAAAAGGTAATACCGAGTACATAGGAAAATAACAAGAACTTGTTTTGGCAGGCGATTGATATAAAAAGGCTGATCCTAACTGATGTAAAGCCTCTTTTTACGTTATTCGCAGCTACGGACTGTAAATTAAATAAAATCCAGTTTTGTTCTACAAACCGCGCCTTTCTTTTCTTTTGGTTGAGTACACTAAATCACCACACTGGTGACCCCGACGTGATAG